CCAAAGGGAGTGTAAGTCATTGAAAAAGTTGGGATGTAGGTTGGAAGGGACTGGACAAGGGAGAAGAAATAGACTTGAGATTGGAGGAAATAGTTCTCGGGGGTAAAGGTGAGTTGAAACGATGGGTCTACCAGGTTAGTTTATGAATCTTGAGAATGAGGTAGAAGTGAGCTCTGCAAGTCTTGGGAACTGTGGTTGCGTGGTGGAGATCTCCAGAAGTGATGTGGTCAGTGACTGCCTAGGAATTTGTGTTCAGTGGTGGAATTTTGATCTGGAAGAGGTAGGAGGAAATGATCAGAGAGTTGGTATTCATCCTTTGGTACATGGAACTTTTTATTTTCACAAACAACAGCACCATCTTTGTCCGTAGGTTTAATGACAAGGAAGGTGTTGGATCTGAGAGAACAAATGCTTCATATTCTGAAGAAAATTGGTTAGAGTGAATGAGAGAAATTGAGATGGCTCATGTCACATTGGGAATTGACAATGAAACCATGTCAAGGAGTGGTCAGAGGGGAGGGTCCAGACAGAATGTGGGAGAAAGGGCCGATAGAGTTGGGGCTGAGGGAAGACTCCTGGCCAATGAAGCAATCATTGAGGTGAAGATGACAAAAGGAGAGTTCAGCGTTGTGTAAGAGTTTGAAATTCATTGTTATGGGTCTTAAGGAAATGAGGCTGAGGCTCCGAGCGAAGCATTCGCGTGAAAAGTGAAATCACTGCAAGAGGTGAGGTTGAAAGAAACAAAGGGCAGGAATTCACCCTCCTCTGACATTTAACATGATCATGGCTGAACCTGTATCTCAATTCTAACTTTTGCTCTCTCCCCAAGCCCCTATTTATCTATTTCTATTGAGACCTCCACAAACTTCTGTAGTAGAAAATTTCAACTGATTCACCACCCTTGGAGTGAAGAATTTCTCCTCAGCTCAGAATGAAATGTACACCCTGAGACAGTGCCTTTTTGCCTCTTTGATTTGGATCCCCTGCATCCAGTATGACCAGCACTGTCAGAATTGTTTTTGTTCCATAGGAATCCCCTCTCGCTGTTCTAAATCCCAGCGAATACGGGCCCAATTGACCCAATCCCCTCTCATATGACCAACGGTCTACCCCGGGAATAAATCCGGTGAACATGCCTTGCACTCCTTCTGTGACAGGCATATCTATTTTTGGTGCCTCTTGTTTTTGTTTGAACTATAACATCTGCAGCATTTATTTCCTTTTTTTTTTGAATATTTGCCTTGTTGAAAGGCTGTTGACAGATTGTTGGATCTATAGGGAATTCCAGTCCTGGTTGTTAATCAAGATTGAATCTGTTCCTGGCAATGTTGTCCATCTGTGTGTTCAGGCATAGAATCTCTGACTCAGTTTTGCATCTCTTTTCACTGGAGTTGATGTTAATTATAGTGTCCTCCATTTGCTGCCCTAGCTGCGATCAGCCACATCACAGATGCAAATTGAACTTGAGATGTTCTGGGTATCTTATGTTGCACAGAGTGGTGTCCTTAACTCACGAGCTAAATTACAGCTTGATAAAAATTCCAGGTAATATTCTCTGCTGCTTGGTAAACCCCAAATTCTAAAGTGCCACTGGCATAGGATATAGAAAAATTAAAGACCCATCAGTTCTCACATCAGTTGGATGTGATAACTTTATGCAGCATCTATTACATTAACAAACAGCAGCAATGCCACTTTCTTGGGAAGTTTAAACAAAACTGGCCAATTTGAAGATAAACTTTGCAAAATCCCCGTAACTTCATACTTCTCCATTTAAAGTATATTCCCGAGAGGAAGAGGAATGGTAAAAAGGTGAAAAATCATCCATAGCTTAATAAGGAATTCAGGGATAACAAAGGCAAAAACTAGGGCATATCATCTTGCAAAAGTTAGTGGTCCTCTGGAGGATTGAGAGAACTTTAAACACTAGCAAAGGATTACCGAAGACAAAATCAAAAGAACTAAGAAAGGAAACTAGCAGAAAATCTCAGCACTAAAACCTAACCTAAGATATTAAAAGCTTTTATAAAAACGATAATAGTGAAAATAAATGTTGGCACTTTTAGAGGATGAAAACGCGAAGTATTAATTGGAAACTTGGAAATGGCAGAGGCACTAAACCAGTATTTTTGTCACTGTTTTCACAGTGGAAGAAGATAATTACTTCCCAAAAACTGCAGTTACTACAGAGGAACTTGGTGAAATTACTATAACTAGGGAGAAGGTATTAAGTAAACTGAGGGGATTAAAGACAGACACGGCCCCAGGGCCTGATGGCCTGCACCCCAGAGTATTGAAGCAGGTGGCAGC